AAAAAAGGAAAAAGGAAGAAAAACAAAAAATTTTGAAAAAATTCAAAAACAATTTCTATTCGAACAAAAATAGAAAAAATAAAAAATCCTAAAAATTTCACAAAAACTCCCAAAATCACAAAAAATATGAAAACTTTTAAAAATTCTTTAAAAAGTCCAAAAAAAAAAGAAAATTTCAAAAAATTAATGTAAAATTTTAATAAATTTGAAAAACCAATCCTAAAAATTTTCAAAAATCTGAAAAAGGAAAATATTCCAAAATTTTTAGAAAAATCTGAAAATTTTTATAAATATTCCAAGAAAGGGAAAAATCTAAAAAATTTAAAAATTTTATTATGAAAAAAAAATCCACAAATATCTACAAAAATTTTAAAAATCATAAGAATTTTAAAAAATCTAAAAATTTTTCCAAAAATCAGAAATATTTTTAAATAATCAACAAAATTGAAAAAGAAAAAGAAAAAGAAAGAATTTTTGAAAAAAGAAAAGAAAAGAAATATACACAACCAAACTTTATGTTTATTTTTTATATATTGATATTTTTTGAATTTTTCACATTTTAAATTTTTGTAATAATCTTTAAAGCCTTCAATTTTCATATTTTGAACCTTGAAATTTTTTTGAATTTTTATGGTTTTAATATTCAAAATTATTTTTTATTTCTTTCAATTTTTTAAATATTTATGGATTTTTTAAAAAAATTATTTTTTTCAAAATTTCTTATTTTTGACTTTTTAATTTTATAAAATTTTTCATATCTTTTGAATTTTTGTTATTTTTCAATTTTTCAATTTTTTTAATATTTTTACTTTTAACAATTTGTTTTTGAATTTTTTGGATTTCTAATTTTATTTTTTTCAAAATTTTATAATTTTGAAAATTTTAAACTTTTGGGGAATTTTATTATTTTTTTGGATTTTTGGAGACTTTTAAGATTTTTTTTTCATATTTTTTTGAAACATTTAAATTTTCTTAAATATTTTATTTTTTAAAAATTTTTTAAAAAATTTTCTTTTAATATTAATGTAACAATGATGATATAGAAATAATTGAAATGTTTTACACTTGTTATAATTTTATTAAGTATTGATGCTACGTTAGCAATTTAACTAATAGTATTAGTATGAAGTTTCAAAAAATTTAACAAAATAAAAAATTTAAATACCTAATTATTAATTTTATTTCTTTAAATATTAAATTAATAAAAAATATAATAATAATTTTTTTTATATTTAACCCTCTAAAAATAAATATTTACAAAGTTAAATTTAGTCTGATTCCGCGTGCTCCGCATTTTAATATCCCTACTACTCTATATGCACTACAAAATCATTGTGTCCGACCTCCAACCGCCACTTTTTAACCCCCAAAATCACTTTGATTTTATTACTGTAATTTCCATTCTTACTCAAGATTGTAAATAGAAGGGCAATTTGGCAATGCAATTTCTTTATTCTTAATGTGATCCAATCATGATTACAAGTTATGTGTTTGGTGGGATATTGACACTTTGGCATTGGGCAAAACTTTGAATGTCCATTTCACAATGTTCAATTGTTAGACCATTTTTTTTTTATTATTAAAGCAATACGCCTTTTTCCTCTCTGGTTAGTGACTTGACTACTAGAGGTGGCCAATCATAGGTCGGGTTGGATCAAATCATTTGAGTCAAAAGGTAGTGTGTAATTGGAGCGTGGGGCTAAAAGTACCTTTAAGGCCAATACAGGAACAAGTCAAATGAGCAGCTAAAAAACAATATGGTAGAAGAATAAAAGAATACAAAGCATAGGGGCTTAATGTAAAGAAAATAAATAAATAAATATTTATACATATATGTATAAAGTTTGGGGTGAGAGCTATGATTTAATTGGTTCTCACATTAAAATTGTTTTTTTTTTTTTTTTACCTTATTTTATATATTTTATTTTAAAAAATTAAAATCAAGTTATTATTTCTCTATTTATTATATTGTAATTATTATTCATTAACTCTTAAAAATAATAAATTTATGTCTTTTACCTTTTGATTTAATGATTAAAAAGATTAAAAAAAAATATGTGAGTGTGAATTCTAACCCCACTATCTTTTTTTTTTAATGTTTTACCTTATTATAAATAAATAAATAAAAAAGATTTGCAACAAATATTAAATCACACTCGTATAAACTTTAAAAAATTAAATTAACTTTTAAGTTTTCTTAACCAAGTTTCAAGTTTTCAACGTAGTATCCAACATCATAGATATATTGTTTTTTTAGATTGTTGTACTCATTTTTTATTTTTTGTGACTTATTTACGTTAAGCTAAAAGCCTTCAATTCAATCACATCAACGAAAGTAAAATCAAATAATAAATTAAATACACAAGAGACAATAATTTAACATAGTTCGATCCAATCAACCTACGTCTAGGGATAATAAACAAGATTTACTAGTTATAGAGAATTACAAATATACATCAAATCATCAACCTCACTCAACAATCAATACTCGTAAGACACTCTCAATCTCTTCTAATCTTATGGAGTATTCTTAACCCAAATAAACACAAACTCAAACTCTTGTGCACACTTTCAACATAACCAAATACATACATATATGCTCATACATCATCCCTATGTGAACTTTTTCAATCTCTTCTAGTTCACTCACAAATAAACATACACACCCATAAGACGTAGAGCGTTAATACTCCTATGAATTATCTATCCCACAAAACCTTATAACTTTCTTACATTTTTTCTCATATCTAACCTTATAGAGACTTCACCTATTTATAATCATACAAACTTGCCCATTAAAAATCTATCTCCTCTTAAAATTCTTCTTAAAATTCTTCTCTTGTAAGTCAAATTTGCTTATTAAAAATCACTTTACTTTTATAATTCTTCTCTTGCAAGTCAAACTTATTTATTAAGAATTTTTTTTCTTTTAGAATTTTTCTTTTACAAGTCTTATTATCTATCAAGCAATATCTAACAAATCTCAAACAAATTCTAAACAAATCTCTTATGAAATTTGAGTCAATATTCTTAATAATTTATTTATTTTTTGTTTGATAAAATATTAAATCAACTATATTAAATAATCAAATTCTTTATTTTTTTTAAGATACTCATATTCGATACATATGCGATAAACGTAAAAATAAAAATTAGATATTTTAAATGTAAATAAAAACTTAAAATAAAAATGAGCATAGTTGTATGCATCTCACACTTACTCTCAAATTTGAGTAAAATAACAAATATACAAAATACTATATTTTAAATGATTTCTCAAAGTTATAGGTCAAGTTCTGTCATTGATTTGAGTCAAGGAAATATAAATCATTTCAATTCAAATAAAAAAGTTTTGAATTATTTCCGACTCGAGTTAAAAAATATTAAATCATTTCAAATTTAAATTATTTTTGACGAATTCAATTTAAATTTGAATTGATTTAAATTTAAATTATTTTAAATTTGAATCATTTCGTTCTCGGGTCATTTTTTATATCTAATAATTGTTTTAAGTCGTAATGTGCATGTGCATTTATTTTTTTTTTGTTTAATTATTAATTTTTAAAGAAAAGGATCGAAAAGAAAAGCTTTGAGATTATCAGAGAAGAGATAGATCTAGCTAAGGGTACGAGAACTTTGCCACGGCGATAGAAAAAGATTTTAATATTGTGGATTAAATAAATTTGGATATGTAAAAGTTTAAATTGTTTCTTTGTATAAATAAAATTTGCAATATAATTATCTAGCATTTGGATTATTTTGATTATATATGACTATATTTACTTTGTGTAGGAAATTTCCTTATACTTCATTATTATTGGTTTGCTTTGATAGTTGAAATGCAGTAGCTGTTACTACGTTTAGATGTTATAAAATTCGGATTAAGTTATATTCAAAAAAAAAAATTCGGATTAAGTTTCATATTTATTTATTTTAGATTATAGGTAAGACAGAGGATAATTTTCCTCTTTTAATTGGATGTGTCATGTGTTATAATTAACTTTACCAACGACTTGTTGTTAATTTTTTAAAGTTTATGGATCTTTTTGGCTTTTTAAAGTTATTGTCTATTATTTAATTATTTTTTATTACATTGTTAGAGTAAAAAAAATAAGCAATGGATTTTTAATTTTTTAAACATAATTAAAAAATAATAGAAAAAGAGATTGAAAAGTATTTAAATTTATTTTTTTAATTTCATGAAATTATTAAATTTTAATAAATTAATCATTTATGTTACATACTTATATTTTTTCAATTACATTATCATTTTTAAAAATAAAATTTAATTTTAAATTATTTAAAAAATTTTGTTTAAAAAAATAATTTAATAAGGATAAAAATTTTAACATATTTATATTAAAGACAACATTTTTAATTTCACGAATAAATTTATGAGTTACAACCTTGTTATATATCCATTATACAGTAATTAAATATAAATTAATTAATACATTTATGACATGAACATTTCCCAATTATATTAATTTATAGAATAATAATTTATAAGCTAAATAAAAGAAAAAAAGAACTCAAAAATGCTTTTAATAAGAGTGAAATGCCAACCTCAAAGGCGTAAGTAAAGATAAATCATTTGTTTTTTTAATAAAAATATCTTTGTTTTTTTTTGGATGAGAAAGATAAATCGTGTTTAAAACCAGAACCCCGACAAGAACAATTCAAAGACCAGATTTTCCAATTCGGTTAGAAAACAAATTCATTAAGAAAAAAAACATAAAAAAGAAAACTAAAAATTGACCGACAAAGGAAAGAGAGAAGCCGTAACTTCCATCCACTTTCATGTGAAACCAAACCATCTGCCCCACGCGGCTTCCACTTTCGTGTTTCCTGGGCTTTAAAACATCCATCATGTAGACGATCAACCCAATTTTCTTTCTAATCTAATACCATTTCCCTTCAACCAAACAAACAACTCAAGAACTAGAATAAGAAAAGAAAAAGCTAGTTCTTTTTGCTTTTGTTTTTTGGGTTTTTTTACCATGCCTTTTCCATGGAAGAAAGCCAAAGTAACTCGTATCTCCCGGCTGGTTGCTGACCTCCATCAATCCCCCAAACGCGGCAGATCCCTTGTGGTGGAAACTGGGTTCCCAACCTCCCTCATCGATCTCTTCGTCAAAAACCGTGATCGCTTGAGAAAACAAAGGAAATCCAGCCCCCAGATCCAAACCCCTTCCACCCATGTACCCTCCTCGCCTCCCCAATCATTCCCTTCCCCTCCCTGCATTGAAGAGCTACAATCTCCTCAAATAGATGTTAGTAAGTTAGTGTTAGTTAAGACAGAATGCGAGGAGAAGATTCCTTTTCATGCAGCGTTTAAAGTTTTTTTGGTGGCGGCTCTGGCTGTTAGTACCAGAAATGTTGCGCTTTGGATCATGGTGGCTGCATTCTTGCTTGTGCTAATAGAGTTTGTTGGGACGCGTTTTTTTGGTTTCTTAAGACCAGAATGTAAGATGGTTTTCTTGGATTCTTTGATTCGAAAGGTTTTGTTGGTTTTGAAGACATGGGGTTGGGAACAAGGATCATCAGCCGAGGAATTGGTTGTCAAACAACAAGGAACTCTTTTCCCTGATTCTTGTTGGTCGATTGAATTGGAAGATAATTGCGTTGAGGAAATTCAGATTGCGGAATCGAAATTTGATTGCGTTACTGTTGGTAAAGGCTGTGAAAGTTTAGAGACACAGATAAAAGAGGATGAGATGGAGACAAGAAGGGAAATCTTAGCATGTAAGAGTGAGCGTAGTCGAACTGCTAGAATTAAAAGAGCTTTTATCAAGAAATTTGTTTCAAAGAAGCTGCGTCATGGAAAGAAGCAAGGAAAGAGTAACAATAAGGATGAATCATATAGTGAATTACATAAAATGAACGAGATTGGAGAGGAAAAGCGAGGAAAAGATGATGAAGAAGAAAGTTGCAAAGAAGTTGGAGATGTGGTTTCAACTTCTGTTCAACATTTGTGGGTTGAGTCAGAAATTGGAATTGTTAAAGACAAGGTGGAGAATGTTAGAAAAGGGAAATCAGGGTATCTGATTCTGTTTGTGATTGTTCTTGCCGGACTTGTTGGAGGGCGAGGTGTTGCACTTTTGCTTACACTTGTATGGTGCTTGATACTAAGATGTGTAGGGAGACTAAGGAGATGTTGAAATGGGCACATGATCTTTGTCTTGTGTCTTGTCTGTCTCGTGTCTCAATCTCAAGCTAGATTTCTGGGTGGGTGGCCTCTCTTCGAAGAAGAAAAGCATCTTCAGATTCGGCTTCTGGTTGAATCTGCTGCTTGAAGCCTGGTTATGCCAAGGAATCCAACTTTTTTGTTGGCAAGGGGACTTGAATTTGTTGTAATTTGAACTGTAAATTTACGTATACAATTCAGAATCCAAAATATTCGTTGATTTAACTCTGAAATTCGCAATTTGACTTATATTTCTGTTTCTGTGAAAAATTTTGCTTAAAATGGTTAAATATATAACAAAGCAACTTGGAGAATGAGAAGCCCATATTCATGGCCCATTTTCGACATGTTGAAATTCCCGAAACACCCTCGAACGCCAGGCTGTCCTCCTCTGCCGCACTGCCTGTCACAAAATCCGGGTGCCAAATTAAAAACCCTAACCCTAAAAGACCCTTTCAGAAGCTAATTCTGGCTTTCAGCCGCTTCTTTTATACTTTTGTTATTCTTTGATAGAAATGGTTGGAAATTGTTGTTAGGCTGGTGAAAATCTAAAAATAAGAATATAAAAATCATGTCTTTGGAAGTGACTAGAAAGGAGACTCAACAGTCAACGCCACCGATAGATGGTCATAAGGGGAACGGCATGGCGGTGATGCCGGGCATGGCGACGATGCACCGGTTACGGCTGAACCCTAACACGGAGCACAAGCCGGAGAGCTACGAGGGTTTGCAGTTGGAGTTCAGTCCGTTTCTGTTCAGCTCGCTGGAACGTTACTTGCCTTCTCCGATGCTCTCATTCTCTCGCGACTCCAAGCTCTATTACATGCGCGATATTGTTCTTCGTTACTCTCCTGAAGGGGAACGATCTCGCGTAAGCTTCTTTCTTGTTTTTATTATTGCTTTTTCTTATATGTAACGTCGTACCTTACGTTGCTGATTGCCAATGAAATCATAATGTATTTATTATTATTATTATTATTATTATTTATTATTATTATTATTATGTTAATTTTCCAGTTAAACTTAAGCATTTTATGTTAATGAAGGTGAAAAATCAAATGAATTTTATAATACCATACAAGGGTTATATATATATATATATATATATATATAAATATTGCTAGAAACTCAAAATGATTAGTGTGTGACAGTCACAGATTTTAAATTAAAGGAGTGCTAAGAAGGAATGATTAACTGTTTTTAACTCTTTTTTATTGGTTGGGAAATAGTGGAGAACATATACTGGAACAATGGCGAAAAGGAAGGGATTTTTTCATGTAGTATTGTGGCTTTATCAGCTGCCAAGTGTTGTTTAGAGTGGGATGTAGCGATATACTAATTGATCAGTTAAAGGTTTTTGTGTTTCCTGTTGTCATTGGAAAATTTAAGTTTCAATTTATATCTATTCTTATATTATTCTTCAGTATTTTTCTGCAATGTTAATGTTGGTCAATGTTTGCCATTACTCACTTCTTTTAACTTCTAGTTTATGCTAGTTCTCTAGTTTGTGGCTATCTATCTCTTTTAATTTTCCTTTTCCATTTACCTGTCCCTTTTTTGTGCTGTATAAAATTTTTTTGAACAGGTTCAAAGGCATCATGAATACAGCCAAAAGATTATATCACACTATCAGGTACATAGTGTAACTAAGCATTGACTAGGATTGCTTCTACTCAACCTGGAATACTTAATTTATGCCTGCAAAAATTCCAAACTATGCTAATTTATGAGATATATCATGATTGACCCTTTATGGGCCATGTAGAAGTGCCTTGTAGTGGCACTTTTTTATTTTTTATTTTATTTTACAGATTGCATTTTGGTTTGTTATCTTCGTAAGGTTTATATCTTGTTCCTGTTCAAGTGATCTCTACTTTTTGCAGCCTCTGCATAGGGAATTGTATGCAATGCATGCCTCAAACTTCTTTGTCCCCTCATTTCTCAAAGCAATTAATGAGAATAAAGAGGAAAGTTTTAGAAGTATAATGGCTGAACCTCCTTTAGGAGTTTTACATTTGAAATGCTTCAGCAATGTTTCTGTGAATTGTTGTTGTTGTCTTAGGTATCATCTCTGCCTTCTTCTCTTCTGGTATTTTTTGCTTTAGCTTTCTTGTTTTTTTAATTTTGGTGCACGTTAAAATTTTAATTATTGATGCTTACTCCGACTTATTCCGTTAATCTGCTTGTTTATAATACCTTTGTGTTATCTTTTCTTTTATTGGTAATACTGTTATAGTCTTTTAGCATAAAATCTTCGTGTTAAGTTGTAGCTTGACAAACTTCTGTATCTTTGTGTTTGTAGGTTTTCACGTGGATGATTCAGAAATCACCTTAAATGTTTGCTTGGGTAAAAAACTTTCTGGTGGAGACTTGTTCTTTCGAGGCTTCATTGTGATAAACATGTTAATACAGAAACCAAATCAGATGTATGGTAATCCTTCTAATGAATTTTTCCTTGATACTGTTCATTTTAAGGCACATGACTTGAAGCTTTCCTTTGACTTAACCATTCAGCTGTAATAGCTGCATGTTCTACAAAGCGTTAGGATGAAGTTTAGTGTCAGTTTGATGAAAAGATTCCTATAGAAGCAAGTCAACAAGAAGAATAAGCCCCATCTCAGATGCAGCGCCACTCAGAAACTACTGAAGAGGGAAGGGAAACCTGCGACTTGAACTCAAGTTTTTGCTTGTGAAATTGTTAATAGGTGGATCCTTGCCATTTATCACCCAAAAGGAAAATTCTTGTTCATATTTTGTAAGTGAAGCAGTTTTGCCAAATTGGGTTGGTAAAAGATGGAAGTCTTTTTGTGTGTCTTCATTGTACTTCAATGCTGTACATATATAGGCATCTTGTCTGAGTGTCCTGGCCGACTAAACTCTTTTGTAGTTACGGTTGAATGTGTCTTTAACATTTTAGAATGGCAGCAGCTTCTTCACATAAAAGTAAATACTCCATTGTTTTATGGATCTAATGTTGGCTGTTTCGAGCATCTGGAAATTGGGTTTTTTTTTTTGCCATTCTGGAAATTGGTTGGCTGAGTTTTCTTGTATCTAATCATCATGCTAATTTATGAGATTTCGAGAGAAAAAAATTAGAATTCGCAAATCAATCATTCTTTTAATATAAAATGCATTAAAATCAATGTTTATTTTTGTTTTAGTTCATTAAATATTGGTTAAAGCATAATTTATCTATTGGTTTCTTCAGGATATTGGTGCGAGCATCTTTAGGTCCTTTATATTTAGTATTTTATTTTTTTAATAATTTAAATAGTGTTATGAATAAATATTTTAATTAATTTTAAATAATGACCTTATTGTTCTCAATAGTAAAATCTTTTTTTATCTCATTTTTCATAGAATTTAAGCTTAGGTTTTTTAAATTTTCAAATGAAAAAAAAAAATGATCTCATTGGATTTTTCCTTCGGCTTCAAATGGACGATATTTATTCATAGTTGATTGACTTCGGCTTTTTGGGTGACGACAGTCCATTGAGACAGAAGCCTAACTCGTGAAGGCAGAAACGAAGAAAATGCAAAGCAAACAACCCAATTATTCAAACAGATCACGAGTGTCTTCACACGATCATCTTCTTACCAACAAAATAATAATAAACTCTACCATCAAATACCATATATTAAAAAAAAAATTAACTGTTATTTTTTTGACTTTATTAAAAAAATTATACAGTTTGATAAATTTATTAATAAATAAATAATAAAAAACATCATTGATCATATTTTTAAAATAATTATTTAATTATTAATTTTTCTGATTTAATCACGTAAATGTAATTTAATTATTTAGTCGTTAATCTTTAATTATATACTTACATGATAATTATACGTCGCTAAACAAGTATTATGTGATATTATCACATCATCTATCTTATCAACCATTAGTAATGTTTTATGATTAATTAAATGATGTGACAATGTTTAGTAGCATATGATAATTGACATGATAATATCACATCAACACCTCAAAAATATTTAAATTTAACTAATTAAATTAAAAAATTACTTAAATTTAAGTGATTAAGTTAAAAAAATTAATAGTTAAGTGATTTTTTAAAACACATATATAATTAGATATATTTTAACTAATAAATAATTTTTTTATATTTTATTTTAAAAAATTATATATTTATCACATACTATTTATTTTTAATTATAAAAATAAAAATTAAAAAAATATTTTGGGCCATTAAAATTAATGGATTCATTTTAATAAATAAATTCGCATCAACTACATACATTTATTTATAAATTAAAAGATTTAATATACCAAAATAAGTTTTATCATTATATTAATTCCGACAAAAAACATTTAGACTTGTTTTACTTTTTCTATAACAAAAAGCAAGGCAAACCATAAGCTGGTATAACCCTTTGCTTTTTCCATATTAAACTTGTTTTACTTATTTTTTGGGTTTTTAAACTAAATTTCAATTATAAAATTTTTTAAAAAAAAACTTATTTAAGAAAGATAAAAATAAAATTTCTGATATTATTACATGCTATATGGTGGACACTTGTTATTCATAAGATAATTACATTTTTTTAAATCACAAAGACTTAAAATATCCCTGAAGTTTAACAAACAAGACTTTCAAAAAATATAAAACAAATCTCCATTAAAAAAAATAACTTGAATTATAATTTACTACTAACAACTTTTTTAACCTCTTCAAAGTTTTCTAATACCTAAATCATAATTTACTATTCACAATTTTTTTTACCTCTTTGACTTTTATAAGTATGACAACAAATTACCAACACCTATACAATAATATAATATAAGAAAAAAATTATAACTAAATATTTTTATTTTATTTATCACACTCCATGAAAATCCTGCATCTATCCTTAATTCAGTTGTTCTCCCAAATGTATGATTAATTTTTTCTTTTTATTTTTTTTGTTAGCCAAAAAACACATCATAGATATAAATAGCTTTATTTCCCAGTATTAAAAGCCCTTTTTCTTCCCTGTTCATAGCTAATAATACTTCATCAGAGCAAATGGTGTCCTCCATTCATGAGTTTCTCAGGAATCATCCAATGAAATGGAAAATTAAAAGAAACCCAAGTCTCTAAGATCACCTGCATGGCAGTGCAAGGGACAGCAATGGGATCTGTTGGACATACATCATCTCACACTTGAAGCATGATTGGTCGCGATATCTTCAAGTCTGAGAGTCACGGCGCGTTTGTGAGCATCCAGCCCCTCAACTTGAGCCATGGTGGCCACATATGGGCCAAGGTTTCTTAAGCCTTCTTCTGTCAAAGATTGTACTGTCATGTACTTAAGGAAAGAATCAAGAGACACCCCACCATACATCCTTGCATAGCCATATGTTGGAAGAACATGGTTTGTCCCACTTGCATAGTCTCCCACACTCTCTGGCGTCCACTGCCCTAGGAACACAGAACCTGCAGGAGCAGAAGGAAAGCTCTTTACAAATACTTGCCATCAAAAGCTCAACAAATATAATTTGGCACTAAAAAAAAGCTTCTTATATAGGCTAACATTACTTGTAGACCCAACAAATGCAACTACATTAGTTGCATGCCCAACAAATGTGGATGTAGCACTTTAAAAATGTCAGCATACAACAACCTAGAACTTCTTTGGCTTAAACTGATGGTAATAAGGAGCTATAACGTTTTACGATGCATGTATATTGCATTCCAAACTCCTATCAACAGCTCTCCAACAAATCTATAACATTCAGACTTCCTGATTGAAGCATACGAATATATATATGTATATTGTATTCAGAAGAGCTATCAACAACTTTCCGACAAGTCTCTAACATTCAGACTTCTTGATTGAAGCATGAGAATACATGTATATTGCATTCAGAATTGCTATCAACAGCTTTCCAACAAATCTATAACATTTAGACTTCCTGATCGGAGCATGAAAATAAATGTATATTGCATGTTCTGCACTTAGATCTGGACCAATTACACCATACATGTACAAAACAGGATGCAAGGAAATTTAAAGATGCAAATAAGAAACCAGCTGGAGCATGACATTCAAATGTTTGACCAATAAAATGTTGTAGTGATACAGCAACAAACTCAAAAGGGGAATTTTCAAGCTAGAAATTAACAGCCATATTGATATCATAATGCTTATTGTGACAACGAGAAAAATGCTATAATAAGATAATATAGCCAACAGATGCAGTTTAGAAAAATACCAGCATTCTCAACAAAACCCTCCCATTTCTCCGCATCCTTCACATTCATGATCAGGTGCTCTGGTGCATATAAATTTGAGAAGGAGATTGCCTAAAAGAAAAAGATCATGAGAAATTCCATAAAACAGTAGACAAGATATTTTATATGCTTCGGTTTGAATTGCATGATTGCTAGAACCAAATCAGAAATAAACAAGAAGTAGGAAAAAGTTAGAACTTCTGGAATTTAGACATATAGCCAAAATTTTATTCACCATTTAAAGTTATTGCATGCAAATAGGGATAAAAAAAGATTAGTGTATGAGCTTTGAACAACCAGGCAGGAAAATGAAAACTAACCTCAATGATATCATGAGCAAGAACAGTGAAACTATGGCTTAGTGCTTTTGATGCAAAATCTCCCCTCGGAAGGCTTTGGCACTGTTTATTAATTTCCTCCTCGATAGCCTTGAGATCCACACCATCACCAGCTGTTACAAGAACAACCTGGCTATCAGGGCCATGCTCAGCCTGAGAATAGCAGATTCAATACATCAGGTCCAATAGAAGCAAGATTTTTTATGTTGTGGACAGATGGGGCCAACCTGGACCTTCAGCTCTAAAGGAAGACAACCTTGTTCTATTCCCATAATCCTACCCTCCCTTCCCAAGGTTCAAATTTGATGGTTGTAAACTGAAAATCCCAAGTTTAGCCAGTGACACATCCCTAGGGGACATAAAAGTCGCAAGTTTATATCAAGACTATGCTTTATGCTCCAACACATATATTTTCTAACAATAATATGGGTGTCACAATAAGAAGGATTGAATAGTCTATTTCGCAAACTTTTGGTTTGACAAATAATTCTCCATTTTAAAATTAAAATTAAAACTCGAGAAAATTGAAAAGTAGGAAAAAAGGGATTATTAAAAAAACACACGCACATGTAACTTGGAAGGTCAACTAAAACTGTGAAAAGCAATGTTTAAAAGAAAAAAAAACTGTGAAAAGCAATAGATTATGTTGCGCTAACTCTTCATTTTGCCTAAAATGCCCATGTCAGAGAAGGGTATGGGGCTTGACCCTCCAAATACAAGGAAAAACTTTAAAAAGTTCAATAGATCAGTGTCAAAAACATTTTAATGCTCAACACTCACTCCCAAGTCCAAGCACCAAAGACCATAGATGATCTTGCACTTCAACTCCCCTATCTGAAAGATGAAAAATCTTGACTGATCCTTGACCACAAAATAGTAGATTATAACTAGCTAGCAAGATCCAATCCCTTCACTAAAGGCTAAATAAACTTTGGCCAGTTCAATCCAATATACTCTTTTGGTTTCAACAGGCCTGACTACAATTCATATGATTAACTCTTATTTTGTAAACATGGTGACCAAAAAGAATTCTTTCACTGTAAATAGTGATATTCAATCCAGAAGTTATCCATTAATAGCAATAAAAGCGCTATAAAAATCATAAATGCACAAACTGACCTTGAACTTGTGAGGTTCTAGCATCTGGATTTCCAGAAAGAAAGTCATCATACCACTTACAAGTTCATGATAAAGGCCAAAAAAAATCCTACTAAATATATAAGTGTATAAGGTCATTAACTTCAGTTTGCTTTAGAAATTATGTAAATTACAAAGCCTTTGCTGTCCTGGAGTATTTCATGAAGAAGCAGAAACCTTGAGTTGGTACTTTGACTGCCCATCAATATAGTAAAGACAAATGATGACAAAAACCTTAAGCTAAAATTTAAGTAAAAAAGTAGCTAATTTCAAAAAAAAAAAAAAAGGTAAAAAAGGAGCTAATTCGAACTAAAGAGAAACAAGTGAAAACCTGGGATAGCAAATCTGCAGCTATATGTACAGGACTGGCATGTTTGTCAGCAATAACCAAAACTTCTGAAGGGCCAGCCGGCATGTCAATTGAAATCATAGCCTCACTATTCTGTGAGGAAATAGGAACAGCAGTAGAATCAAATCAAGCAGAGGAAAATGCGTTTCTACAACTTTCTTTGATTGGATCAAACTTACAAGTTCCAAGAGCAAGTAACAGAACTTACTTGGAGCATCATTTTGGCAGCTGTTACATACTGATTTCCAGGTCCGAGAATTTTCTCAACCTGCAATAAAGGCAAAATTTTTAACACCAATAAAAACCTGAAAAAGATGCATTCATGATAAATCAAATATTATCTTTCTCCCTAAAACATACACTATTATGTCTGAGTTATAATGCCTTCAACAACTAATTATATTTGAAGTCTTGAACAACCCATCCGTTGTTGTAGAAGTACTTTGACATAGGGTATAATAGACACCTCTTAGTCTGGTATACATGATCAAATGGCTAAATAACTGGACCATAAACATGTTGCATAGCTTTCTGATCATATACAAGTTAACTGATCATCATTATAACTTTCTAAAGTCATGGCATTTCAGCATCTTTTGTCATAACTACCTATCTTATTTACATTAGCATGCTATTAATTTATCCACACAGAAACACAGAGAGAGCTGTGAAAGGGAAATTGATTGTGCATGATGAGTCTTGCCAAAGATTTGCACTTGTGTCGGATTAATTAAATTATCACTCTAGCATAAATAACTGAAGGCTTGTGCAATTCCCCAGACACTTGCATGAAATCGATGCATAAAAACAGATTAGTCACGGAGAAACACAATGTACAAACCTCAGGTTAGAGATATCATAGTAAAAACATACAAAAGAATTTGATCAATCAATTAAGCACAAAGGAAAAGACTCTTGGTTTCTGATTAATAACTTACCCATAGGAAATCACTATTCACAAGTCTTTAAAAAATTGCCATAGATAACTATCAGTATTAAAACTCAATAAAGAAAAAGTTAATGAGAAATCATTACCTTTGGGCAAGATTCTGTTCCCCAAGCCATGGCTGAAATGGCCTATTAATTCAGTTTTTTTTTTTTTTATAAAGAAAGTTAAGACCTGATAGGAATTTTATATATAAAAAAAAAGGCTAAAAATAGAAGTTCAAACACAAAATGTGTAAGCATATCTTTCATGCTTTCAGACCTGAGCTCCACCAGCTTTAAGAATGTGAGTCACACCAGCCTTTTTGGCACAATATAGTACCTCCTATATAGGAAAACACTAATCAGCTCTTTCTCTCTCTTTATATGTTATTTCAATATAAGAAAAAAAATAAAAATACCTTACATATGCCACCATCTTGGCTTGGAGGAGTTGCTAGAACAACAGTTTTACATCCAGCAATCTGTGCAGGCTGGAGTGAGAAATAAACCAAGGTCAAACAAATCTATCTAGATCTACTGTTAAACATACAGAGAACTAGAAATATAATTGATAAAATTCGTTTGATCAACTTACAACAGAAAGCATTAGAGCAGTTGAAGGCAAAACAGCAGTTCCCCCTGGTACATAAAGACCAACAGAAGCAATACTCCTAGCCACCCTTTTGCATTTAACACCCTATCAAAGTACTGAGATGTTTATTATGTTGACAATATAAGGAATATGCAATAATGAAGCAGTAATATTAACTTACTTTCATATTCTCAACACTCTTCTCTGCTGACTTTTGGGCAAGATGAAATGCATATATATTGTTGTATGCCACATCAAACGCCTCTTTAATAGTTGGGTCAAGCTGAGACATGGCAGCACACAAAGGCATAGCCAGGAACTTTTGTCAGTGGGTCAATATAATAGTATTATCTTCTTTATTTATAATGTTTGTTATTTAATACAACATTGACAAAATTAAACATAGAAGAAAATATCCCAAAATATAATACAAATTTCAAATAAATAAATATTTTCTTACAATTTATCCATAAAGTAAAGTTATCTCAATCGTTTCAGTAGCGGTGCTATATAATTTTTTTTTTTCATTTTTCTCTCATGTCAATCAAAATCTTAGAAAATAATACAAGTAGATAGATGATATAATTTTTTTTTTCTTTCATAACAAAATAACATTTGTAGTATTGAATAACTAACTACATATAAAATAATTATTACATCAAGTACAACATACCAATCATTTCTAAATTGGATCAAACTCATAATATGTATTATAGAGATAATTATGGATAAAAATTATAGCCAGTAAGTGTGATGACAACAAGGTGAAAAAGACAGAATTTCAACAAGAAACAAGTAACGAAACTAAATAAAAATAAGTATTAACATGAGATTAATAAAAGATCAATAGAAATGCATGCTAAAATTTTTTTCAAACTCACAAGTTAAACTTATAATCATAGTGAAAGAACTATTGGAATTCTCAAATTAAAATGAATGTAAAAGTGAAGATGAATTTATTTTTTGACCCCTTCCTTAACAAAATTTAAAAAATTTTAGTGGTGTCAATATCCTAATTATATAGGAAAAACACTTATTTTTTATACTAATTATATATATTCTTCAATTTCAAAAGTAGGTGGCTACACCACCAACAGCATAGCAATAAAAGCCAAGTGAAGACAAAATAAAATCAATAAACAAACTAGAAATTTAATGAAATTCCAAGGACAATACATCTTCAAAAAAGTACCTCTGGATAAGGAAGCTTTGAGACATTTTCAACAATTTTCTCTAGCTTAACTTTATCAAACTTTTCGGTATAACTGCAAAAGATATATATTTGTAAACAACTGCATTCTAACCACATTACCGAAAATGCTCAGAGGAAAAAAAAGGTATATAAAGAATGAAAGCAGCACCGACACTTTAACTGCAGCATCGCCTCTGGTGCGGACATCGTCAACTATCGGCTGGATCTGAGAAGCATATCATATATGAACATTAAAAGCTAGCAGGGGTGGAATAAAGACAATGTATCAGAAAAGAGTAAATGATGATACAGGAAAGAAGAGATAGGCCCACCATGCCAAATATGGAAGAAAAATCTATGCGAGGACGAGCCTTCAAGCTTTCTACTTCAGCATGACTAAGTTCAGATAACTTGTAAGACTTCATTGCACACTTTATTCTCTTAGAATCCAATCCTGTAAGGATGTGTTTGGTACACAAGATTATGATAGAATAAGATAAGATGATATTATGAATAGGATTAGATTAAATAATGTCATCCTATCTTATATTTGATGTGTGCAAAGATTAAGATAGGATAATTTATTTATTGGCTAAAATTATCCTTTCTCAAAGTTTACACAATTTAAATTATTGATGTAATTTTTAAGGGTATAATAAGATATGTAAATTCAATCCCATGGATTAAAAGTAATCCTTTATAGGAGGATTGAATCATCCTATACGAAGAGGATGATTAATCCTCCTTATAATCCTATCCCTTTCTTTAGATGCAAATCAAACATAATATAAGATGATTATCATCCTATCCTATCCATCATCACATGCATCAAACATGGCCTAAAAGTAATCGATTACAGAAATTAAAATGGCCTAAACCCTAGACACCCAGAAATTAACATATATGTGAACAAGCATTCTTTTTTAATCAATACAAAAATAACAATTTTAGAGTAAATGAGATTCAAAACCAGAAATTATCCCCAAAAAACAGAAAGAGATTCAAACCTAGCTCTTTGAGCATGCAACAACGATTGAGCCAAATGCTCGGATGCAATGAACAAACCAATCCATTGGAAACTCAATTATGGAAATATAATCAGTAATACAAGCTTCCAATCATGTTCATATCATCTCAACAACTGCAATAGCATTTAAGAAAGTCAAAAAAGAAAGAGGAAGTACCTGAAGGAAAAGAGAGTGATGAAATACGGATGAAATGAGGGGCAGTGAAGGAACGAAAATGGAGAGAGTGTGCTGGTTTAAATCGTAGAAGCTGAGAATCCATAACAACCTTCAACTCAAATTAATCTATCAATATCAACTGATTATTATATTAATGAAATTATTTTTAGAATTTTATGATGATAAGATTACCTGTGAGTGACAGATGGCGGCGACAGCTACTGCATTTCACCCAGCCACACTGCGTAGCGAGACAGATGACACACAAGTGAGCCCTGATTTTGTTTCCTTTTAGTTTAAAAATGAACTTTCTTTTTCGACAATAAGTAACTAAAAAATCTTAATGTCCAAACTAGGAACTTTGACTCTTATTTCCTAAACCCGTGTATTTATTTCAAATAACTCCAAATACCATTTTCTTTCTTTAACTCATGGTTTAGATTGAGATGTCAATTAAGGTTGTCAACGGGTAGGGTCAATGCGAGTTTTTATTCACCTTAAATTTGATTCAATTTTATAATCATAAAATTCGAATTCGATTAGATTCGAAAATTTTTTATTTTTTTATACTTGAACTTGATCCGATCTGATATTTATATAAATTGTATCCGATCTTACCAGAAATTAATAAAATATTATTTTTTTTAAAATATAAAATATTATTTTTTAAATATAAATATATAATTATATATAAATAAAAAATTAAAAAAATAATTAAAAATAATTTTTAATATAATATCAGGTTGGGTTGAGTTTGCCTAAAACCTGAATCCGACCAAACCTGAGTTTTTTTAATAATATTTAATCCAACCCGACTCGAAACTTGATTTTTAAAAAAAAAAAAAAACCCTATGAGGTCCGGTCGGGTCGAAAACCGTCGGGCTCGAGTTGGGCTGCCAACCCTAATGGCAACCCAATTCATTTCAAAGAGTTTTGATTCGATATGATTTTAGAAAGTCAATTTTTTTTAATTGAGTTTCGGTTCGAATCAAGTCATAATGACAAAAAATAGAAATCGGGTCGGGGTCAGGGTTTTTAGTAAACTTACTTTGATTTGATCCAGCATATATAAAAAAATTTATTTTTTAAATTATTAATTTAATTTTATATTTATATATATTATATATTTAATTTTTATTTATATTAAAAAATAATATTTTATTAATTTTCAATCGGATCAGATTGAGTACAATTTTATATAATATCAAGTTGGATCAAATTATGATATAAAAAATAAAAAAAAATTATCAGATTTGAGACAAATAAAAACCCACCTCATTGCCATCCCTAGTTTATACTAGAAATCAACAATACCTTCGTATATGAGATTAAGTTGATCAATGATGTTTTTTGTATTGTATTTATATCATGTTATAATTTGAGTTATATATAAAATATATTTTTATATTTTTATCATATCAAAATTTTAAACAATATTATTTTCAGCTTTCATATCTTTTTTAATATTATTTTATAGACAAGAAAATTGAGAAAGAAAAATGAAGAAAATAAAAAAATGGAGTGCTCAACCTGTTTTCACTACTCAACTTTGGGCTGTGTTCTTGATTTTTGGATTTATAATCTTGAAATCTAAATTCAAAATTATTGTTTACAAGGTGCATAATTTTCATTTCTTTATTAACTATAAAGAATGAGATTATTCGAAGAAATTGGAATTTTCATATAGTTATGTTTTGTACAAATTGAATATGTGAATTCTCACTTTGAGCATGTTCTACCAAGTTTCTATGAATTTGATTATATTTTAGTACATGGGAGTTATGGACAAGACAAGTACAATCAAGTTTGATTGAGAACTCCTCAACGTGCAATGAACACAAGCTGAAGATATACAAGAATAGTGGCTATGGCAATAAAAGCTGGGCTCATTGAGGCTGTTCAATGAGAATAAATCAAACTGTCAAACGAAAACCGGTTTTCATGGACTGGTTATGTCCCCGAAAACCTGCGGGCGATTCCTCCTTGATGAAACATTGTTGGCTGATGCACTTTATTTACCTTTCATATCAAATGATTCAAGCTGTTATGTTATATTCCCAATATGATCCTTAGAATCATGATGATGTTGATAAATTATGTTGGAATTCAGATTTTCATCATTGAACTCCTCTTCCTTGTTATATAGTAATTCTTCTTTTTCTTCTTCTTCAACCATGTCTGCCAAACTTTTCTTGTTTCGTGCATTTGACGGCTTTTCCACTTCAATTTCTTATTCATCTTTACATGAAACCAATGGTTCCCCATCAAGATTCTGAGCTGAATCCCAAGTTACACTGTTTATAGTCCTCTCGAATGATAGCTTGCGAAATGAACTGTCAACAAACTCTTCTGCCCATCTTCCCATTCTTTGATCTCCATTATTTAGCCACAACAAAGAGTTTCTTGTCTGTGTGAATAGAAGGTGAAAGCACACTTTCAGTGGTTTCAGTTTGCTCAAACAATAGTTTTCGAATTGAATTTCCAACGGTATCTTCTCCCTATCTTCCTCCTCTCATCGGATCTCGTCTTGGTTGGGTAAATAAAGCTTCTGAGTGCTTTCTACTAGCTGCTGAGGAAACATACATTTCTTCCATGCAGAACCTACTTCTTGTCCTGTCGATTATCTCCAGTTCTCCTTCAGCTTTCTGGAATACACTGACCCTTCACAAGGGCTTTCCAAATATGAACCTTTTCTCCACTTCTCAGTGAATGTGGTTGGTGATGAAGACTGCAACTTACCTTTCAATCCAATTGGTGTGCATTGTGAACTTTTGTCATCATATCCATAGAAGTTATCATTCTTCTGAAGGTCATTTCTACAGCTTAATCACTATTTTGCTCATCTGACAGCATCTTCCCTTCCCAATGTGCATATGGCAACCTTCTCGTTTCCATATAGCCAGAGATGTTATCCTCATTTCTGGAAAGAAAAACAGTAGCTTCCTTCAAACTTCTATCCCTGCATGATGTAGAGGATCTTCGAGTTTATGTCCCCTTATCTGGTTTGTGTGCCACCGGCTCTAACATCGGTTGGGATTCTACTTGGATCAGCATTTCAAGAGCACGACCATAAGATTTAGAATACGATTCATCCATCTGTTGAGTTCCTGATGAAGCTTTAACATCCTGAAGCAGTGATTTTGCTTCACTGATCCTGTTCATGTGCATCAAGCATATTGCCAGGTTGCATTGCTTATTCTTATCTGGCTCCAGAGACAAAGCTTTTCTGTGATGATACAAACTCAATGTAAAAATACACACATTTTTCTGGAAAAAAAAAAAAAGTGATGCATGTATATATTTTTAAGGAAAATAAAAAAGCATTACGCTGCTCAGCAATTCCGTAATTATGTAATAGGCCCAGGCCAAATTCCCCTAGTATCCTGAAGCCTTAACAGATAATGATTTGCAGAAAATATAGGTAGAAAGAATTAGAGTAATAAAGAGCATGAGTGCAACATCCAACTTGATTTATCTTGTTCAATAGTTATCTGAATCTTCTTCCCTTGAGATCTTGCAGTCTTTGTCCTCTTTCCACCAAAAACTGTTCCTTCATCAATGTTCCTCGGTTTGTTCTGAAGGATTTCAATCTCGTCTTCAACCCTTCCAGACCTCTGCAAAAACAAGCAATTGCAGAAAGCAAATATGCCCTCAGTCTCTAAACAAAGACTATAATCTGAGCAAGATAACATCATAAAATACAACTGGAGCCAGCTACACATAGAATGCGAGATAAACTCTCCAAAATAAATGAACCTGATAAAAATCGTCAGACAGACATGCACCATATCAATATATAGTTTTACAGAAGGGAAAAACAATACTGTTTTACCTCTTAGGTAGAGTATAAATTTTTTCAGAACTAAGTTTGTACTGCTGCAGCTATGTATTTTTCCTTTATGTAACTATATACAGTTTTATCTTCTTGTGAATTCCTTTAAACTTCTCAAATTCCTGCTAGACTACATACTATGTAGTTCCTGCGTTGTCGGAAAATATCACATGTATAAGCAAAATTCCTAGTGAATTTCACTAGGAGAAAACTCAGTGCAAAAATACCATGTTCTAAGCCTGGTGCCTCCATCTATGCTGAAGTGTTATTTTTTGGAGTATTGATCAATGGTAAGAAATTAAAATGACAGAATTCGCAAATAATCTAAGGTGACGACGCTAACTATAAGATGTTAATAATCTTATTTCTCTGAAATTTTGAAACCCTCTACTATGATTGTTCAGAAAAGAGAAATTAAAAATGAAGAATGAACTATGCATTTCCATTCATTCCAAATGGTTATGACATTCTGATCTTCATACCGTGACCATCAAGTCTATAAGCATAGCCGGATCGGGATCAGTTCTCATTCACCCTTGCTGATTTTGTCAAATTTTACTCCACTAGATCCTCTAAGAATAATTGAAAATGAGGCAATAAGTTTATGACATTTACATCAAAATGGCATGAATTGAAAGAAAAGGAGGACATGATTCATGAGCTCCTATGCTTCCTGTACTAGACTCATTCAACTAAACTGCAAATGAAAACTAAGCTTGATAGCAACAGATATACATTGTAGATGAGATTTGCCATTGTAGCTTGTAGAGTTCAACAAGGACATTACCAAGAGACTACTGAGAATCATAAGGACAAAGATGACGGAAGATTTGATTGCCTCAATAGCCTCAGCTTCATCACAATAGCCATGTCTTTCAATGCACTATCAACACGATCTCCAGCATTAATAACTGCCCAGAACAGTGAAGTGGCCTTATTGGGATCCTTGTCTATCAACTGTAGGTCCAGAATACAACATTCGTATATTCAAACAAAAGCAATGAAGCTCACCCAAAGGCAAAACTAGTAACTAGTAACCATTGATAGATAGTAAAGATAAAGATATTATTAAGCCCAATGTTGTCAGTCATTTATTTGGTTTTTATATTTATTTTATTGTTGTATTTGGTGTTTATCAAGGTTGATTTTCACACAAAATCAATTTTAACTCAAATGATTATAATATTATATCCAATTTAACCCTCACATCATAATTTAAGACGAATATTATTTGGCCATTTAAAATTCTCCACATAAAAATAAGTTTTTTAGATATTAATAAGGGTGAAAGTGAAAAAAAAAAAAAAAAGCAGTCATGTTTGTTAGGTAATTTAAAAAATTCATGATAATAAAAGCTTGAAAATGGTAGAAAATTTCTTGGGATTTGTTTGGGTGAGATATTTGGAAGAGAGATGTCATTTCAATTAAGATTTTCAAAAGTTCAAAAAAAAATTATTTGTTTGAGAAAAGATAAAGAATAATTTCAAAATTTTAAGACAAATTTAAGAGGAGATTTGAAGACTTGAATTTTTTTTTTTTTAAATTCCATGTAAAGAATTGATTTTTTAAAATTCTTTTAAACCTTTTCACTTTTACAATAAGATACAAAAATTAAAAACTAAAAATCATTTTATTTAACTCTAATATATATTTTTTATGTTATTAAAATATCAATTATTTTTACAAATATAATAATACTCGTATTGCATATTCTTATATTTATATGTATTTTTATTTTCAATATCATTATTCTTCTTTTATAATTAATTTTATCTCACAAAATTTAATTACCTAAATCTTTTTGTAAGAAATATTTATCTAAACAAAACAATTACAAATGTTAATTTTTTGAAATTATGCATTTTAAATGCATTTATTTCAAGATTTTTTTCTAAATTTTCAAATTTCTCATTCAAATACACTCCTAAAAAAAAACAATAAAAGGAAAATCATGTAAGGAGGATAAAGATTCAATTATTTGTGATAAGGTTATTTGGTTTACTAGTAGGTCCAAATATCTATGTTTAAAAGAATTGAGTTCTGAGTTTTACCTTTCTTGAAATTAGAAAAAAAAATCAATTATTTGCTATAAATGCAAGAAGTTTAAGCATATAAAATGTGATATCTTTTTGTAAATGAAGAGTCATTTTAAGAAAGCAAATAAAAGTTATTGCCACATGACTCACATAATTCAATTTCATTCTATTTTTTTATTAATTAAAAATAAATATTTAAGAATTCAATTGATTCAATAAAAAAATAGGAAATAAAACTTTTTAGATTTTAAAATACTTTTTCAATCATGCTATATAAAACTTAAATATATTATTGTAAAAAATTTATTTTCTAAAAGAATAAGATCTAAATAGTAATTTTATATTATCCATATATAATTATTATTGAATTCATCCAATCTTTCATTGTTGCTATAGAAAAAGTTGTCATATACAAATAATATAAACAAAAATTTTAGTTTTAGTTTTACTTTTTCCTTTAATTTGTTAATGGATTGTGATATATTGATATTTAATAAAATAATAAATTTTAATTTCAATAACTAATATTCAATTCTTATAGCTTTCAATATATAAAAAATTCATTGAAAATCAAGATTGATTGTTTTTTATTTGTTGAGTCCAACTCTGCTTGACTTTTCTTTTTTGTTCTTTTCACATTAGAAAATAAGAAATGAAACATTTACTTATAGGTATAGAGTCCTACTAATCTATACTTAGCTTAACAATTATCCCAAGGAGAAATCTATTTACCTTTTTTGTTTTTAATTTTATACATCCTACTACTAAATACATTTTAAATTCAAACTTAGGCTTTGTTTGGTTTAAGAAAATCTTTTATTTTTTATTTTCATTTTCTAGAAAATAATTTTTAATTTTTGTTTTATAAAAATTTAATTAGTAAGTGAAAATAAAAACTGTTTTCTAGAAATGCAAAATTAAAAAAAAATAAAATATTTAATGATATTATTATTAATGGCATCTAATTATAAACATAATATATATTAATTAATTAATGACATTAAAAAAGTGTTTAAATATGATAACTTGTAAAAAATAAGAAAAAAAGTAATGAGTATCCCTTATTTTCACAATTAAAAAATATATATTTTCATATTTCAACCCATTTTCATTTTTATTTTCTAAAAATTATTTTCATTTTCAATTACCAAACACGTTTTCACTCATATTTTTCATCTTGCAATAAAATGAAAAGAGAAAATGACTCTATTTTCTGTAACCAAACACTACCTAAGTTTTTTATTTTTACTAAATACACCTCACACCCCATTTTTCTATTTTTCGTTCTACTCTTTCACTCTTCCATTCTCTTTTCTTTTATCTTCATTTTTAATTAAAAAAAACCCTATAAATCTATCGTGTTAAACTAAAATCACCAGTGCTTTTTAGTTTTTCATTAATTAAAGGAAATATTTCTAGCTTCTTTTTTATTAATTTGGTTTAAATTTTGGTTGAAATGCATGTAAATATAGGTTAAGATTTATGATAGAATTTAGGGTGAATTCGAGTTTTTTGAAAATTCGAAATCGAAAAGCTTAAAGGATTTTCAGAAATAAATTTTTCAGAAGTTTAAAGATTGATCCCCTATGCAAGGATGATTGATCCTGTCCAAACTCGAGAGTTTACATGTTTTTAACAAGGAAGAAATTGAACTTTTTATCTAATGTCATTTTTTTTTCATTTATGAAAGTTTGTTAAATATATTCTGTAAGCATAATAAGTTTTTTTTTTTTGTTACAAATATGCCTTGTACACAAGGATAAGGTATAGTCAAAGGCATCCGACTACCTCTGAGAAAACATGGTAAGTATAGGGGGCGATGAGTTGGAAAACCGTATAGTCAATGACATTCCTCGAGCTAGGCCTTCAACTTCCACCACGGATGAACATCACATGAAGTCTTTTCCAAGAGGTCTGATTGATGCCTCCATTATATCTAGTTTCATTTCTCATGTTGCATTCCAAATTTGAAATGGCCAGGTAATCACTCAAATCATAGAATATTAGTTTATGTCTTTAGAGTGTCTTAGTTGATTGTTGTTTTTTATGTTATTGTGTATGTTATTTTTTATTTTTGTAACATTGTTGATTTGTTTATTGTTGTTGTTGTTGTTATTGTTACAAAAGTGAGATATATTGAAATCGATTAGCCACGAGTCAAAGTTACAATAATGACGTTTAAATGATACACGCAGTAGGATCCGAGCCCATATTGTCTGGTCAAGGTTGTTCTCACTCGTCGACTGCATATATCATACCATCAACAACACGATACTGTCCATTTTTGTTGAGAGGTGGCAACTAAAAATGAACACATTTCATATGTCAATTGGAGAAATGAGTATCATGCTTGACGATGTGTTTACCCTTCTATACATACTGATCAAGAGAACCATAATTTCATTGAATTATTTGACGATGCATAAGGGCAACACAGTTTTTGTCAAGGTTGCTTGTAGTTCTTTATGAGGTGGCTAAATCCAAGATGTAGTGGGGTAAAGGATCTACTATTCAACTATCTTGGTTGCATGATACCTTTAAGCATATCACTAATGTATCAGATGATAACATAATTGTTTATGCATCTTGGGTTATTCTATTATATTTGATAGGGTGTATGCTATTCTATGACAAAACCATGACGAAAGTCTTGATAATGTACTTACCCCTACTAGTGGACCTCATTGCTACAAGTACCTATAGTTGAGGGATAGTTGGTCTCACTTACTTAGATAGGTAGCTTGAGATTACGAATAAGGCAGACATGCATCTGATCATTAGATATTTGACACTTATTTAGGTATGTATTTATAATTAGTTAACATATTATAATTATTTGATTTATTTATTGTTACTCATATATGTGATTATTTAATTAAATATTATTTATGTATTTCATGTAAGCATGGATTTAAGAGCATTTTTCATCATTGGGCCCAATTGTCGTATTGACATACTCAGATGATTTACAATGTGTTTGACAATGGAAGGTTCATACTTACACTGATACATTGCAAGCTTTATGGAAGCACTAGGATGGGTTGACAGTATTGGACATATGTTGGGAACCATACACCATTCGATAAGAGGCACATCCATTGCATGATAATGCCTTTTTCACTGAATGCATCAAGTGCAGGGCAATCATAGAGCCGTATCACCTGGAAAAGGTTCTATAATTGTTTGACTTTGTATGAACTATTCCATCAAGATCGT